TATATATATATATATATATATATATATATATCCAATGTTCACGCTTTTATGATCCTGAAAAGATATCCAATGGACTGTAGCTCTTGTATTCCATGTGCTGTCCGATGATGGATGTAAGCAGAAACTTAACATTTTATATAGTCTTTTTTGGTAATGAGAAACTTATTAACATATATATGTCATGGGAACATTAATTAATAAAAACAAAATTAAAGTAATTAAGCGAGTCTTTGGTCATCAGCAAAATTGCCATCTGCAAATTGCGTAAGTGGTCATAATTAACTAAAAACGAGTCTAAGGTGACGCTGAAGCTTTGACCCGTTTCTAACAACAAATTATTAGTCAATTATTTTGATCATTATAGTCTCAATTAATTTTCATATGGCATACAATCAATAAGTATTGTTATTTTCTTTTGTAAACTAAAAAAATGAAACGTATCACGCATATGTAGAACGAGATCAATAATTATTTTTTTTTCTACAATTGGTGTCCTTATTACGTATGTTTCTTCTTTCGAGCACTTCAGCTTATTGTTCTATTTTCAAGTACATAGACCTTCTATTTTCAAGTACAAAAACCAAGTATTATCGCTACGAGTTGACAAGCATTTACTTTTCAAATCTTTAATATATTGGAATAATAGTACGTAAAACTCATTGGTACCACGTAAGAAAAAGTACCAATTTTTCCATCCTTTAATATAGATAGATCAATGCCTCATACTCACTACGTTAAAAAAGTAGTATTTTATAGTATTGCTATTAAATTTAAGATTACAAGTGATCTATCAGAAATCATGTGAATGGTATGCTTAAGAGTTAAGATGGATTATTAACATATTCGAGGTACACTAAGCTCAGGTGAACTTAACTCCTAAAAGTAATGATTCTAGTGTACATGAGAAGCATAAGTTTGATATCCTTTGAGATAGCTTAAGAATCCGGTGTGCTAGAGACGTCATGGAAAATGTTTGGACAACTATAAAAGACACTCAAATGTTGAAATTAGTGGTAAGCTTATTAGAGTGACAATGATATTACATGCTTATTTACTACAATAACCTTTATGATATATATGGGTATCATAGTTGGGTTGTCTTTCTTGACACAAGACCCAAGACACAAGACCCCTTGTGAACAATCATATGTTATTTCGTGTAACTATAATATAAGGTTAAAATATTTTTTTTCTCTATAATTTATCTTATTTTATATTTTAATTTTTATAATTTTTTTTACTTTTCATACTCATCTTTCAATTTTTTAATTATTATATTTTAAAATATATTTTTTTTTAGTCTTTATAACTGTAATTTTTGTAATCTTAGTTTACATCGTTAATATTTTTTTGTAATTTTGTTTTTTTTTTTTATGTTAACATGACAAATGTATTAATTCAACTTTGAATGTTTGATGTCAAATTTATTTTATTGAAATTACTTTAGATTAAAACTCTCGACATTTCGTATTTATTATCTATCCTTTCTTGTGACGTCTACTATTGAGATTTTTTTTTTATTCTCACAAAATTTAAGACTTTTATCATGTTATTACAAAATAGATGACATTATAAAAAAATGAAAGGTACTAAAAGCATAAAAAAATTATATATATATAAAGAGAGAGATTAGAAAGATATATCTTAAATTATTATGACTAAAATGAATTAAAAATATAAATATAAACACAAAAAAAAAGTATTTTAAACTATAAATATTAAAAAATAAATAAAACTTGTTCCGGCCAAAGGATGGACTAGGGTTTGTGCCTAGGTCAAGCCTCAAAGGCAGAGCATTCAAAAGTGTAATCTGTCGTGTTAGCTCTAGGGTTTTATGTTTTATACTTTTCTGTTCATGGGCCTCCTAGGCCTTGTGAGCGCGAGGATTTCCATAACGGTTTTCCTTGGGAATATTTGATTATCAAAGATAGGCTTTTCATCCTTGATTCTCGGACCAGTCCAAGGGGTGAGACCCACTCGGACTTTGGCCGACCACACCCTGGCCGAGCTCTCCTAAGCCGAGCATACCCTGGCCGATCTCACCATGGCCGAGCACACCCTGACCGATCTCACCATGGCCGAGTACACCCTGACCGATCTCACCATGGTCGAGTACACCCTGGACGATCTCACCATGGCCGAGTACACCCTGGCCGAGCTCACCATGGCCGAGTACACCCTAGCCGAGCTCGTCTAGGGGGTGGGTGAGATCGCGGTCCGACCGAGAAGACCCATATTCAAGAATCATCGGATCAAAACCTGTAAAGGATATCAGATCGGGTTCCGACCGAGACGGTACACTTGCCTTCCAGCCCTGAGCCTATAAGGCGAAAGGGCTAAAGCAACTGCCCCTTCGAACCACATCAGAAATAGGCCGAGAATTATATCGGGAATAAGTCGAGACGGTACACTTGCCTTCGAGCCCTGAGCCTATGAGGCGAAAGGGCTAAAGCAACTGCCCCTTCGAATCACATCGGAAATAGGCAGAGAATCTTGTCGGGGAATAAGCTGATAATCATGTCATCATGTAGAATCGTGGTTTCCCAGAACCTGAGGTGAGATAGAATTGTCATCCTTAATTCTCGGAGCAGCACCTGACCTCAGATCTACTCGGACTTTGGCCGATCGCACCATGGCCGATGTCAACATAGTTGAGCTCATCCTGGTGGGCTCACCTTGGCCGAGCTCATCCTGGTCGAGCACACCCTGGCCGAGCTCACCGGGGAGTGGGTGAGATCGAGGTCGACTGATCTTACACACGTGGAAAGTTAGATCGCCTGCTGACCGAGACTACCCATATTCAAGAGTCATCTGATCAATACCTATAAAGGGTATCAGATCGGGATCCAACTGGGAGGGTACACTTGCCTTCCAGCCCTAAGCGTGTAAGGCGCAAAGGCTTAGCTGTCCTTGAGATCGGCTCTAGCTCGGACTCTGACTGAACCTCCCCGAGACATGGATCGAGATCAGAATCCTACCGACCTTACGACACAAAAACCAAGTTTAAAACTTTTTTTTTTGGTATATAACACTAGGTCTCCAAAATGCCGACCAGGTCTCCAAAATGCCGACCAGATCTCCAGAATGCCGACCAGGTCTCCAAAATGCCGACCTCGCGATTAATGAAGAAATAAAAACTGAGTTAAGAACTTTTTCTTAGTATATAATTTCGACCAGATCTCCAAAACGCCGACCTCGTGATTAATGAAGAAATAAAAACCAAGTTTAGAACTTTTTCTTAGTATATAATGCCAACCAGGTCTGCAAAATGCCGACCAGGTCTCCAAAATGCCGACCAGGTCTCCAAAATGCCGACCAGCACTCCAAAACGCCGACCAGGCCTCCAAAATGCTGACCATGTCTCGAGAATGCCGACCACGTCCCCAGAATGCTGACCAGGTCTCCAAAATGTCGACCTCGTGATTAATGAAGAAATAAAAACCAAGTTAAGAACTTTTTCTTAGTATATAATGCTGACCAGGTCTCCAAAACGCCGACCAAGTCTCCAGAACGCCGACCAGGTCTCCAAAACGTCGACCAGGTCTCCAGAACGCCAACCAGGTCTCCAAAACGCTGACCAGGTCTCCAAAATGTCGACCTCGCGATTAATGAAGAACTAAAAACCAAGTTAAGAACTTTTTCTTAGTATATAATGTCGATCAGATCTCCAAAACGTCGACCTCGTGATTAATGAAGAAATAAAAACTAAGTTTAGAACTTTTTCTTAGTATATAATGCCAACCAGGTCTCCAAAATGCCGACCAGGTCTCCAAAATGCCGACCAGGTCTCTAGAATGCCGACCAGGTCTCCAAAACGCCGACCAGGTCTCCAGAATGTCGACCAGGTCTCCAAAACGTCGACCAGGTCTCCAAAATGTTGGCCAGGTCTCCAGAATGCTGACCAGGTCTCCAGAATGCCGACCAGGTCTCCAGAATGCCGACTAGGTCTCCAAAATGCCGACCAGGTCTCCAGAATGCCGACCAGGTTTCCAAAACGGAAACCAAGTCTCCAAAACGCCGACCAAGTCTCCAAAACGCCGACCATGTCTCCAGAATGCCGACCAGGTCTCCAAAACGCCGACCAGGTCTCTAGAATGTCGACCAGGTGTAAAACGGAGAGACACATCGTCCAGATTCCGATCTCTCATATAATGAGAGAAAATAGTTCGAGTTAATTTACACTCGCGCAGTCGAATTTTTACCGATCAATCACGAGTTTGGTCTTCGAGTTATTTATACTCGCCCAACCGGACTTTTGCCGACAATCACGAGTTTGTTCTTCGAGTTATTTATGCTCGCCCAGCCGGACTTTTGCCTACAATCACGAGTTTGTCTTCGAGTTATTTATACTCGCCCAGTCGGATTTTTACCGACAATCACGAGTTTGGTCTTCGAGTTATTTATACTCGCCCAGTCGGATTTTTACCGATCAATCACGAGTTTGGTCTTCGAGTTATTTATACTCGGCCAGCCGGACTTTTGCCGACAATCACGAGTTTGTCTTCAAGTTATTTATACTCGCCCAGTCAGACTTTTGCCCACAATCACGAGTTTGTTGCCTTTAAATAACACACCTGTCGATCATGGAAAGATAAAAGAGATGATATTTAATAAAATTGGAATTATTGGTTAGTGGTGCCTCGTTAAAACCCTTCTCAGTAAAAAACCTTTTCACATTTTTATATGGAATAAAAATCTCTTGGGACGACCCCATCCTCTCGGCTTTCAGCTGCCCTTTTGTTGATTTGTCCCTTCTCTGTCTTGATGTGACTCAGGGTGAAAGCTCTCACCTCCGACATCGTTTGACAATTCGCTTTCTCCAGGGCGATGTCGAAAGCTCCAGACCTTAAGCCCTTATGGAACGCGGTGACTGCCATCCTTTCATCCAAGGACGCTATCCTCAGGGCGACCTCATTGAACCTTTGCAGAAAGTCCTTCAACGACTCCTCCCGCTGCTGCTTGAAGTCGAACAAGTCCGACATGATCGGTGGTTTCTTCTTGTTAGCGGCGAACTGTGTCATGAAGAGCCGACTAAAGACATCAAAGTCGGTGATTGATCGGTCAGGGAGACCACTAAACCAATCCAGTGCTGCTTTTTTGAGTGTACCCATGAATAGTTTGCAGCGGACTTTCATACTTTCTCCACAAATCAACATTTGAGCGCGGAAATTTGTCAAGTGCTGACTGGGATCCTGAGTTCCATCAAAAGGTTCGACTTGGGGAATCTGATGATCCCTCAGGATGGTCTCGACCTCTATGGCCTCCGAAAAAGGTCAAAAATCTCTGGGGACTTCCAGCATGACATCTTCCTCCACCGTCCTGGCATTGGCCGTTATCATAGCTTGCATCTCGTCCACCCGCCTCATAATCTCCTCGTTTTCTCGTTGAATAGCCTCCTCTCTCTCCCTGGATCGCGCATTCTCCTCCCTCAAAACGTTGATCAATGCCATCATCTCCTCCATGGTAGGGTGTTGTGAGTCGCTGTTGGATGTGCCGCCTCTTGCCATGGTAAAGTGCGGATTCTTCTGTGTTACTTGGGGCGTAGGAAAAGTTTCACCGTAGCCCCACGGTGGGCGCCAAAATGTTCCGGCCAAAGGATGGACTAGGGTTTGTGCCTAGGTCAAGCCTCAAAGCTAGAGCATTCAAAAGTGTAATCTGCCGTGTTAGCTCTAGGGTTTTATGTTTTATACTTTTCTGTTCATGGGCCTCCTGGGCCTTGTGAGCGCGAGGATTTCCATAACGGTTTTCCTTGGGAATATTTGATTATCAAAGATAGGCTTTTCATCCTTGATTCTCGGACCAGTCCAAGGGGTGAGACCCACTCGGACTTTGGCCGACCACACCCTGGCCGAGCTCTCCTAAGCCGAGCATACCCTGGCCGATCTCACCATGGCCGAGCACACCCTGACCGATCTCACCATGGCCGAGTACACCCTGGCCGATCTCACCATGGTCGAGTACACCCTGGCTGATCTCACCATGGCCGAGTACACCCTGGCCGAGCTCGTCCAGGGGGTGGGTGAGATCGCGGTCCGACCGAGAAGACCCATATTCAAGAATTATCGGATCAAAACCTGTAAAGGATATCAGATCGGGTTCCGACCGAGACGGTACAAAACTATAAAGACTAATAAATATAATTTTACTCTCAGATTAAATGTTGTTCATTATATATGAGTGTTGGCTAATTTTCCTACTTATGATGTTGACCTTCGTCAACTCTTGCATTATTGTGTCTTCCATGTATTTGGGCATGACATAGTGATTATATTGATTGATCCTTATTAACCCAAACTATATATAACAGTTTCCTTTAGATAATACTGTGGGTACAAAACATTGTTAGAAAATATTACATAAAAGAATGAAAGATAATATAGTGTGTGAATAACTACTGTTTTTTTGAAGAAAAATAAATTCCAATAAACTTTTGGTATAACTAAAAATTTGATTTATTCTTCAAGATTTATATAATGTATTTGAATTCGTGCATTCGAAACTAAAACACATTGGAGCCTCATAAGTAATATTTAGGAGAATACAGATTGAAAAAATAAAGACATAACCTCCACTACTCTAAAATCCATTCTATCACTCTTTTATATAGTATATAGACAATTAGTCTATTGATAAGATATTTAAGAAAAAAATTTAATATTAATAATAACAAAACTATTAATGTCAATAATAACAAATAAATTAATGTCAAAGATAACAAGAAAATAATTAACATTTATATGTCGTTAATATATCAAGTTATATACTTAAAACCATTTGAATTATATTCCATATTTCTCATGTGTTACTTCCCATACTATATTTTGCATGCAAACATGGCTACTTATTCACTAATAGAATCTTTTTTTATTACATGTAGATGTTTATTTAAAAAAAAATTACAGATTTTTATTCCCAAATAATTATTTTGTAGATAAAAATGCCACCTAGGATAATGGCCTTGACCTTGACTTTCTTGGGCGAGATTTTCTTCTTCTCCTTTTTTGATAATGTGATTTTTTCAAGGAGGAAGTACCTACAAAAGAGACTCTGATACTTAACTTAGTATATCATATCCTTCTAGAGATTAATATCTTATCTGCGAATGAGATATTTGTTACGGTTTTTGTGCTATGGGCGTTGCAATTGAACCTTATCTTTTTTTTTATTTTTTTATCTAGCCTTCAAGCGAGGTGGCCTCATTTAACCGATGTGGCATGCTGATATCACTGCTGTGTCATTTGAATACTATCTAGGTGTTTTGTGCCCTTGGTCGAATTTGTTAACTCGACTAGATCGGTACAACATTTTTTGTAAATTTTAAAATCCACAAGAAATTTCTGTAAAAAAAAAAAAAAAGATTCATATATATGTTTTTTATAAAATTTTTACTATATTGAGAAAAATTCAAGTGTTACATCAACTAGAGATAAAACAATTTAAAAAGTACTATATAAGTTGAGAAAAACATTTATCTTATAAATTAATTTTATAGGATTGAATTAAGATTATAACTCACATTCTAAAATAGAATTAATCACAAAATCCAATAGTTAAGTACCGATCATTTATGTAATTGACTCATGTCAATCTCTTGAATTTATTTAAAGTCCATCCCTTGTTAGAATGTGTAATGATCCCTCGCGGTTCCTACACTCAGTAGAATCGCATTAACTACATAGTTAACTAATTAAACTGGACAACAAAATACATACATGTATATAAAATTAATAATAAAACCACACCACTATGTATAAAATGGAATATATACTATGTATATACAGTCATCCAAAATAAAAATACCCTCCTAGTATCAATCAAGCACATCCTACCAGTTATCCGAGACGGTAACCTTGACACTAGGATAAAATTCCACATCCCGTAGCGGTCATAGCAACTATCTCCAACCTAACCTTAACTTGCTCACATACACAATATGATCATCATAGTCCATCTACATGGAAACAAAAGGGTAAGCTAAAGTTCAATAAACAACCATACAAGCATAATGATCAACATCCATGCTACACAATCATCAAATCACCAATCATTTTCATAGAGTCAAACCATGCACTCTATCAACCAATAATCATGCAATAAAGCAACACATGAAAGATATCAATGCAAATCAATCATCTAATATGTTGTCGCGCATTCACCTAGGAGATCTCCATAACAATAGAGCAGTATAGGTGACATCTCATTCAACCAAAATTACCTCGATTGTTTATACGCCTGAAGCGCCCTGTTGGGTCAACAACAAACCGGGATATCAAAACCCCCTAGGTGTTTACTCGGATAGTGTCACTTATACATTTTGAAGTCTGGTTCCACCGTCTAGAATAGTACAACCAAGTATAGGCTATTACCACGACCTTGGCATACATTACCAAGTCATTTATGGATTTTGTCCACCATCTATCTGTTTGGAACCACGCAACCTTCCCCGGTACTTGGTTAAGGGAATAACCCTCGATTCTGCACTCCAACACTAGCTAAAGATTTAGAGGAGACTCACTAAAACTAGTGGCCTATCCAAGCACCACTCTCACCCAAAACCAGTGGCCTATCCAAACACCACTCTCATCCAAACCAATGGCTTATCCAAGCACCACTCTCAAGAATCTCTGTGTGAGCTCTTCCAGTTTAAAACATTTTTCCCTCTCCTCAAGTTCTAGGCTAGACACATTTCATAAGACATCACATGCAAACAATGCATCATACATCATACAAGGTCAATCCACCACTATGATCAATATGATCCTCATATAAACATACATACATATCAAATCATGTTAAAACATTCATATATTCCATTCCCAAGCATACATATGAACCAATCAACATTTTAAATCTTATATATATATATATATATATAAACCAACAACCAACACCAATACATGCATAAGCATCACAACTCAACACCAATACCAAAATGTAATCCACGCCCAGTGCAACTCAGCTCGCGCTCGACCTCAGAATATTCACAAACCCATGCCCAGTGAAATACTATCTCGCTCGACGCTAAGGACCCACAAAACCTATCCTAATGGAATTACGCCCGGCGTGACTTACATTGTTCCCAGTGCCATAGAGTCATAAACTCCCAGGGGCATCCATGCCCAGCACAACCATCCTTTGCGTCTAGTGCCATATTAGTAAAGACTTACATATGTTAAGTTCTGATATCGTAGTCGGTGCCACCCCTTTCAAGCTCAACACCATTCATCCAGAGGCCCCAATTTCAGTTCACGCCCAACGAGACTAACCTCACACTTGGCGTGAACGCGAAAAGGGATGCCCTTGATGAATGCACGCCTGGAGCCATGTAGGTACGCCTGGCACGAACTCAAAAACCAATATCTCAAGTTCAAAATTTTCAGCAACACCTACAATTTCAGGCAATCCAACATGCAATCCATAAAGAACAACAACCAAACTCCATAGACTCTAAAAATAACTCTAAAATCAACATACATCCACCCGATGTACCAAAATCACTAAAAACCCCATTTTAGTCTGAAAACCTCGAGATGAGAAAATCCTTCAAATCCACAGTTAAAACCTCAATTGATGCATCAAATGAGTTTCTAAAACTCACATGAAACCAATCTATAACATCCTAACTTCCTTCACCTGAAGATTGACGCAAAACAGCCAAGAAAAGAGGAAGGAGAGGATCAACACAAAAAATTAGTCATATTCCCATTTTGCCATCCCTATGTTTAACCAATGAAAATCATATTTCATAAGTGTAAATTAGTCATTAGCTATCCATTTTTAAATATTGTGTTTATTATGTTGAATGTAAAAAAAAAAAGTGATAGATATTATTATGTAAAATAATATGTTAATATTTTGAGTATATCTTGTAGTATTAGTTGCCTAAGGATTAGCCTAAATTATAGTTTATCAATTATAATGGCAACCTAAATTATAGCTTATAATTTGTATATATATTCCTTATCAATGTATATGCAAATCACAGATGATTTTCTACATGGTATCAAATTAGGTTACTTTCCTTAAATCCTGAAAAACCTAGTCGTCATTATTCTTCTTCTTCCAAGCATTATTTTTTTTTCCATCGCTGCCCATCAATGGCTGAAAATTC